TTGTGAACAGCTTTTGTGTCTTCAGCTGCATTCGTCACACCTCTGAGATGTCATACCAATTTGACTCCCAACACTTTTTGAAGGCCATGACATTTCTCTTCATAACTGAGGACTAAAGCTGGCTTCAGCGATGAGGAAGAGGGTTGCCCTTAAAAACTACTAGGGAAGAAACTTGGTTTGGTTCAGGCTGAACTGTTTGGAGTCTCATATAAAGCTTTAAAAAGTCTTGGAAGCAAGAGGGTAAATCCAGGTATAAACTGATGATCTGCTCTGTAGTCACTGCGAGCTGCTTCAGTGACTTCAAGGATGAGAGCCCATCCATTGTGAAAGAGTTTTGTCTGTGCATTGTTAATGAAGAACATACTGCCTAGTTATTGTTGTATGTGGGAAAACAAAGGGTTACTGTGGGTATGAATCTTCTTTAGTAATAGCTGATGTGTCTGTGTAATGTCTGGTTTTGCTTGTCTTCAATTTAAGTTTCTCCTCACTTTTTGCAATATGTGGAAAAAGCAAAGCAGGAGTCAGCTAAGGTTGGTGTTTTGTTTTGACAGACTTTGTGTAAAGGCAGGGCCAGGACTATAGTTACTTGGATTATCAGTGTGCTCAAGCTGATGCAAATCCTTCTGCTGAGTGTGGATATAACACAGGGTCCCAGTGTGAGTCAAAAGGCATGATGCCTGTGCTGCTGTATGCCTATGGACTTTGAGTCTTGCTTTGTACACATGGGTTTTGACTTGAGCTGTTCTCCATTGGGGCCTGAGGAAAGAAGAGCAAAGTGCACTTTCCAAAGGAAGAGGATCTTGGTAAATTTGAGTATAGTCTTTTCCTGCATCTATACGATTGCTTGTATGTTTTTATAACACTTACCTGCCTTTTGTATATTTTTTTCCATTGTTGATGATAGGAGTGTGTTTAGTAGAACTCTTAAGATATAAAGTGATAATTTCCTTTTTACTTTAAATTATTTTTTAATATGTATGTTGCAGTTGATTTGAAAGCGATACAAGAAAGAATTGCTCCTGAGAAGAGAAGCCTCCCTGCAAGGCTAGCCCTGAAGATGTGGACTGCCATTGCATTCTTCCTGATGATTTCCTTCTGTATATGTGAACACAGGTTTTCTGTCCTGAAAGGAAGAGGAGTCCATGTAGTGCAAATAAACAAGCTTACAACTGAAAAGCAGTGCAGGCAGGCTTGTCAAAGCCCTGGTGTTTCAGGTGAGGTTCTCATCCCTTAGCTGCAATGCTGTTTCTGTTCCTTAAAGGTCTCTGATCCCCTCACATCTCTTTCATTCCAGCTGTTTTCAGGTGTTGACAGTTATCGCTTCTCTGTGCAGTCTGTGGTACTATATAGCTACTGACACCTTTGGTTAAACTGCATCCAGAATAGCTATTTACAAGGGCCCTTTAGCTTCCAGAGCAACACCACATACGTGTGTACTTGGCGTGCACTGGTAGCACCGAAATGGTGTTAGGTCACTTGTCTTGAAGAATGTTTTTTCCATGCTGCCGCATGTTTGTGAGTGGATAGTGCTGTTGTAGACTTTAGTGGAAACCAGTTGTATCCTGCAACCAAGCACAGGGTTGAACAAGTCTGGGAAGATGACAGCCTTCTGCTGTCTATCTCTGAGATATCTTTAAAAAGCATTACATTTCTAAATGTGTTTATCTTATCTAGGCACATGTGAAAACTTGTAGCACCTACAACTGGTGATGCTGTGGTGAAGATGAGACCTTGGCTCAGGCAGACTAATGTCTGACAATCAGATTGATAGGAACATCATAAAGATGTTTTTTTTAATGCACCAGTGGTTTCAACCTTTAGTTTAAACATAAGATGCCACTCTACAGTGGAAAGAAAGCACCTTTATAAACTAGAAGGCAAAGTGTGAGTTCGTTTGTCTCCCAGGCACCAAAGCTGTGAAAACTTCAACTTCTGCTTTTTAAGGTGGTAAGCCCTTGAGGTATGACACATTCACACTGACTCTGCTGACGCTTAGGGTCTGTAGCACTGTATGTTTGTCTGTTCCACCTGATAATTTCTAGAGACTGTGCACATGTAATCTTAAATCTCCTGAAAAAGGAGGAAAAGGTGCTGTCAGCTGCTTTATCCAGAGGAAGGACATTAAGGAATTTAGTTCCTTTGTCCTGTTGCTGCCTTTAACCACTTCTTTTATACCCTTCATCTTGTTCTCTCTTGATGTGCTTTGTACAAAGCAGGTCCAGTTGAGTGTTAGCTTGGTTGGGCAGAGGGTGTTGAGCCTCTAGAATTAGGTGACTCATTCTGTCTTCAGGAAGCCATGCAAAACTGAGCCCAAAAGCATAAACCTTTTCAGGTTTTATATTCTGTATTAAACCCACTGAAGCAATTTAATTCTGCATGTTACTTTATGACCGGTCTGTTGCACTATCTGGTGTCAAGGGAGACAGAAAAGATATAAACTCTTGATGTAAGTGTATAGCCATGTTCAGAGAGATCATCTGAAGAGAAGGACCTGAAATGTCTTTTTTATGATTAGGTATTAAGAACAGCTTTACTGCTCTCATTTGCCATTTGTATCTTCCCCAGGTATATTAATTTTTGTACTTTCTTTCATTACACACTTGAGACTTAGATGTCAGAATAGTTACACCTATGCAACTGCCAGTTAAGGAGCAGTGGTTTTTATTTTTGGAAGTATTATAGTTGTTGAGTTGCTGACCAAGGGAGATGTTTTCATAACTATGTTGCTTGAAGAAGTGGAAAAATAACATTCCTAACTCGTTAGACTCTTTTCTGTACATGTAGTTTATAGCCTTGCTGACATAACTTCACAAATTTAGAGAAGCAGTGCAACTATCACAGAAAGAACCACTTTTGCCATTTCATTCACATGTCCAATATGTGCTGCATAAAAGGAGATGGTTGCTGGCCTAGCTATTCCAGCATTGTCTTTGAATATTCATGCCAGAGACCAGGATATATACTTGGCAACGATTGTACCAATATAGTGAGACAGTTTGACACTTCAGTTGCATGCTAATAAAGGCAGCAAAACTCTCTAGGGCTGATAGCATGGGTAGTAACTCGAACAGCTGTATGTTGTCTAATTGAAAAACTGATTCAGGTCTCCCTCAGTAGTTAGAAAAACATTCCACTGTCTTACCAGCCTAGCAGAACACACTGTTGTTGCTAGTTAAAAGAAAGCTTACTGAAGGAAAAAAAATCAGTAAAAAGAAAAATTGGCTTCATCCTTGCTCAAACCAGGACACTGTGTCACTCCATTGCCGTATTTGCACTGGAACAAAAAGGTACCCAGGTACCCAGGTTCACTGCTCCTCTAGGCAAGGCCAGAAAGTGCTGGGCTGTATCAGCATACTGAACCTGCTAGCAAAACAAGAATAATGTTAGGCCTCTGCACTTAACTAAAGTAAGAACAATGTTGGCTGGTCTTGATGTTGCAACGTGGCTTAGTGAACAGGGGAGTTTGCACCTCCACACAGGGTGACTAGGGATGCTTAATTTGAGGCACTGCATTTTAGTATCAGGTTTTGTCCCTGTCTTTGACTCTTTGATAGTCCAATGTGTTGTGTGTTCTTTCTGAAGCTTGAGGTAGATGTTTGTTTCACCAACCCACCGAGCAGGGTGGTTTTAAGGCTAAAACTCTGTTACCCTGTTTGGGATGTTACCCAACATGTTTGAGTAAGGAAAATTTTCATGGTATGAAGCATCAAAATGTTGCAATCTGGGAGTCAAAGCTAATAAAAGTTATTCTGAGCTTTCTGGGAGGCCACTTTTTCTTAAATTCACAAGCGTGGTTGGGGCTATAGTTGAGACCTCAGGGTGAATCTTCTTGCATGGATGGCTGAAGCAGGCAGGGTCTTACATGTTACTGATGACCGTTGGATTTTTTTCACTGTGCTATTTATACTGTTCACCCATGGTGCTTGTTCTAAGTTGTGAACAGCTTTTGTGTCTTCAGCTGCATTCGTCACACCTCTGAGATGTCATACCAATTTGACTCCCAACACTTTTTGAAGGCCATGACATTTCTCTTCATAACTGAGGACTAAAGCTGGCTTCAGTGATGAGGAAGAGGGTTGCCCTTAAAAACTACTAGGGAAGAAACTTGGTTTGGTTCAGGCTGAACTGTTTGGAGTCTCATATAAAGCTTTAAAAAGTCTTGGAAGCAAGAGGGTAAATCCAGGTATAAACTGATGATCTGCTCTGTAGTCACTGCGAGCTGCTTCAGTGACTTCAAGGATGAGAGCCCATCCATTGTGAAAGAGTTTTGTCTGTGCATTGTTAATGAAGAACATACTGCCTAGTTATTGTTGTATGTGGGAAAACAAAGGGTTACTGTGGGTATGAATCTTCTTTAGTAATAGCTGATGTGTCTGTGTAATGTCTTGATATACTGGGTTTTGCTTGTCTTCAATTTAAGTTTCTCCTCACTTTTTGCAATATGTGGAAAAAGCAAAGCAGGAGTCAGCTAAGGTTGGTGTTTTGTTTTGACAGACTTTGTGTAAAGGCAGGGCCAGGACTATAGTTACTTGGATTATCAGTGTGCTCAAGCTGATGCAAATCCTTCTGCTGAGTGTGGATATAACACAGGGTCCCAGTGTAAGTCAAAAGGCATGATGCCTGTGCTGCTGTATGCCTATGGACTTTGAGTCTTGCTTTGTACACATGGGTTTTGACTTGAGCTGTTCTCCATTGGGGCCTGAGGAAAGAAGAGCAAAGTGCACTTTCCAAAGGAAGAGGATCTTGGTAAATTTGAGTATAGTCTTTTCCTGCATCTATACGATTGCTTGTATGTTTTTATAACACTTACCTGCCTTTTGTATATTTTTTTCCATTGTTGATGATAGGAGTGTGTTTAGTAGAACTCTTAAGATATAAAGTGATAATTTCCTTTTTACTTTAAATTATTTTTTAATATGTATGTTGCAGTTGATTTGAAAGCGATACAAGAAAGAATTGCTCCTGAGAAGAGAAGCCTCCCTGCAAGGCTAGCCCTGAAGATGTGGACTGCCATTGCATTCTTCCTGATGATTTCCTTCTGTATATGTGAACACAGGTTTTCTGTCCTGAAAGGAAGAGGAGTCCATGTAGTGCAAATAAACAAGCTTACAACTGAAAAGCAGTGCAGGCAGGCTTGTCAAAGCCCTGGTGTTTCAGGTGAGGTTCTCATCCCTTAGCTGCAATGCTGTTTCTGTTCCTTAAAGGTCTCTGATCCCCTCACATCTCTTTCATTCCAGCTGTTTTCAGGTGTTGACAGTTATCGCTTCTCTGTGCAGTCTGTGGTACTATATAGCTACTGACACCTTTGGTTAAACTGCATCCAGAATAGCTATTTACAAGGGCCCTTTAGCTTCCAGAGCAACACCACATACGTGTGTACTTGGCGTGCACTGGTAGCACCGAAATGGTGTTAGGTCACTTGTCTTGAAGAATGTTTTTTCCATGCTGCCGCATGTTTGTGAGTGGATAGTGCTGTTGTAGACTTTAGTGGAAACCAGTTGTATCCTGCAACCAAGCACAGGGTTGAACAAGTCTGGGAAGATGACAGCCTTCTGCTGTCTATCTCTGAGATATCTTTAAAAAGCATTACATTTCTAAATGTGTTTATCTTATCTAGGCACATGTGAAAACTTGTAGCACCTACAACTGGTGATGCTGTGGTGAAGATGAGACCTTGGCTCAGGCAGACTAATGTCTGACAATCAGATTGATAGGAACATCATAAAGATGTTTTTTTTAATGCACCAGTGGTTTCAACCTTTAGTTTAAACATAAGATGCCACTCTACAGTGGAAAGAAAGCACCTTTATAAACTAGAAGGCAAAGTGTGAGTTCGTTTGTCTCCCAGGCACCAAAGCTGTGAAAACTTCAACTTCTGCTTTTTAAGGTGGTAAGCCCTTGAGGTATGACACATTCACACTGACTCTGCTGACGCTTAGGGTCTGTAGCACTGTATGTTTGTCTGTTCCACCTGATAATTTCTAGAGACTGTGCACATGTAATCTTAAATCTCCTGAAAAAGGAGGAAAAGGTGCTGTCAGCTGCTTTATCCAGAGGAAGGACATTAAGGAATTTAGTTCCTTTGTCCTGTTGCTGCCTTTAACCACTTCTTTTATACCCTTCATCTTGTTCTCTCTTGATGTGCTTTGTACAAAGCAGGTCCAGTTGAGTGTTAGCTTGGTTGGGCAGAGGGTGTTGAGCCTCTAGAATTAGGTGACTCATTCTGTCTTCAGGAAGCCATGCAAAACTGAGCCCAAAAGCATAAACCTTTTCAGGTTTTATATTCTGTATTAAACCCACTGAAGCAATTTAATTCTGCATGTTACTTTATGACCGGTCTGTTGCACTATCTGGTGTCAAGGGAGACAGAAAAGATATAAACTCTTGATGTAAGTGTATAGCCATGTTCAGAGAGATCATCTGAAGAGAAGGACCTGAAATGTCTTTTTTATGATTAGGTATTAAGAACAGCTTTACTGCTCTCATTTGCCATTTGTATCTTCCCCAGGTATATTAATTTTTGTACTTTCTTTCATTACACACTTGAGACTTAGATGTCAGAATAGTTACACCTATGCAACTGCCAGTTAAGGAGCAGTGGTTTTTATTTTTGGAAGTATTATAGTTGTTGAGTTGCTGACCAAGGGAGATGTTTTCATAACTATGTTGCTTGAAGAAGTGGAAAAATAACATTCCTAACTCGTTAGACTCTTTTCTGTACATGTAGTTTATAGCCTTGCTGACATAACTTCACAAATTTAGAGAAGCAGTGCAACTATCACAGAAAGAACCACTTTTGCCATTTCATTCACATGTCCAATATGTGCTGCATAAAAGGAGATGGTTGCTGGCCTAGCTATTCCAGCATTGTCTTTGAATATTCATGCCAGAGACCAGGATATATACTTGGCAACGATTGTACCAATATAGTGAGACAGTTTGACACTTCAGTTGCATGCTAATAAAGGCAGCAAAACTCTCTAGGGCTGATAGCATGGGTAGTAACTCGAACAGCTGTATGTTGTCTAATTGAAAAACTGATTCAGGTCTCCTGATGTCTCTAGGGCAAGTGGTATACATGATGGAGAAAGTGCCCATCTTAGCAAAGATTTGAAAATTCAGGATTCCCAGATGCCAGGTGAGCATGGTGTACCTGTGTTTGGGAGGTAAGGTAAGCTTGTGCTTTTCTCTTTGCATCCCTAGACATATTTCGAACTCTCCCAAATTTCTTCTATGGTGGCCAGTCCATGTCTGGAGAGGAACACGTTGGCCATCTCAGCAGTCTGGCTCAGAGAACAGAGCCACTTGGCCATCCTCTGGAGAAAATAAAGGGAAAATATGACATGGCTGTAAGGATG